TACTCTACAACAGAACAGAATAGTGGAACAAACACATAAAACTATATTTAGAGGTGTAAGAGCATATCTAACATCTACTGAATTACTGTTTACATTATGGGCCAAAGCAGCAATTCATATTACCTATATTCATAATAGAACACTGTGTACTACTTTAAATTACAATACCCTACATTATAAACATTATGGAACACACAGAACAATTGATAATATATATGAATTTGGTCAATATATTATTATTTGCAACGAAAATCCTACAAAAATACAACAGTAAGGTATCATTGCTTGTTGGATAGGATTAGACAATGAAAGTAAAGGCTATAAAACTTGGCACAATAATAAAATTACTATTGAACAAAATATTCAATTTCTCAAAGGTAAACCTCCTCAAATTGAAGGGGAGAAAATAGACAATACAAACAACAATACAAACAAGCATTTAATAATTAAAAATAATGAAACAGACAATAGAATAATAAGAACAGACAACAATGATACAGACAATACTGATCCTAACAAAAAAGGAAAAGTAGCAGAACCAACAGACTTAATGGACAACAAAGTTAAATTAACTGAAAAAGAAGTAGAACCTAAATTACATTGATTGGAACAGAAACAGAAACTGACAGAATGTGCTATTGAGCTTGAACAACACATGGAGAATAAATGTGTAACAAAACACATGTATGCACTTAGTGAAAAGGATGAAGATAATATTGCCATTCATTTAACAGAATTTAATGCTAAAATAAGTGAAATACAATTGGATCCAACTTCATTTTATGAAGCAATCCAATGTCCAGATCATGATTCATGGATTACAGTTATGAAAGACAAAATAAAACAATTAGAAAATCATAATACATGGGAAATCACAAATCCACACAATAATATTAACATCATCAGAACATGATTTGTCTATAAAATAAAGTGATACACTGATAATAGTATAGAAAAATATAAAGCACAATTAGTAGTTCAAGGAAACTATCAGATTGACAGCCTTAACTATCATACAGACAATTTATTTGCTCCTACTGCTAGACTATCTACAGTATGATTAATATTAGTATGGGTAGCATTTAATAATTATGAAATACATTAGATAGATATAAAATTGGTATATCTGTATGGACAATTGACAGAAGACAAGGAAATATATGTTAAACCTCCTCCAGGTAACCTAATAGACAGATTACAGAATGGACAAATATTACAATTACAAAAAGCACTATACAGATTAAAACAAGCTAGTAGAAGATGGTATAAAACACTATCTAATATACTACTTAAATACAGATTAACAAAATCCAAACATGATAACACTGTATTCTTTACAAAGAAGAAAGAAATAACTGTAGCCATATTATTTGTACATGTTGACAATATTACTATTACAGTAAAGAATAATAATACTATTGTAATAATAAAACAATCTATTGTACATTATTTACAATATACAGACAGTAGCAAATTACACTAACTACTTAGTATAGAGATTCAATACAACAGAGAGCATAGATTCATCAGGATGTGTCAGACACATTATATTAATAGTATAATAGAATGTTACAAACTTACAAATGAACAAAGTGTACAAACACTCATACAGCCTAGTACACAATTAAAAACAGTATTGCAAACTGATAACAATAGAAAACAAATGTCTAATATACTATACATGAACATGGTTAGCACACTTAGATACATTGCAGACTGTACACAGCCAGATATAGCATTTGTAACAAATCAGTTAGCAAAATACCTTAATGACCCTAGTATAGAGCATTATCTAGCACTTAAACATTGTTACATGTACTTAAAAACTATGAGTAATGTCTGGCTCCAACTTGGCAGCACAAATCAATCAATATTGAACAGCTATACAGACACAGACAGTATGATACAAGAAGGGCATTGTGTAATATCAGGATATGTATTTTACTTGAGTGATTCATTAGTTTTGTAGTCAAGTAAAAGACAAACACTGGTGGCAAATTTGACATATGAAACTGAATTAATAGCTCTTACAAGAGGAACACAGGAAGCAATTGTACTTACTCATTTAGCTGAAGAGATTCTGCAGGTCTCTGATACACTAATTAATATCTATTACAATAACAATACTGTTATACAAACAGTTACATTGGACAAACTCAAATATTTGGAATGAACAAAGCATTTAGATCATAAGAAAGACTTTATTAAATGCTACATTGAGTTAGAGTACATAAATGCAAAATACATACAGACAAACAAT